CACACACACACACACACACACACAGGCTTTCAAGTCTCTTAAAGAATCATTATGTTATGTATCTCCTCAACTGCTCCAAATTAAACAATGAATATTCATCTTGTGTTTCTTTTCATAAATCCATTTTGTGACATGCATAAAAATATTATTCTAAACAGATTTAGTTTTATAAACTGGAAATAGTGCACAATGCAGTTTATTGAAACTCCAAAGACCTCAAGTCATGGATAGTCTCCTGTTGTCACGTCTCAAATCCTTTGAGTTGTATTAATACACATGCTTATCATTGGCTCATATCATATCTTCCATACATTCATATCAGCCAACGACAGGCTCCTTTCTGAGCCTGGGGTTGCTCTCACTAGCTCTATTTTCCTCAGCTAGTTCTCTTGGGAAAGACTATCCTTCTCAACACCAACATCATACAACTCAGCACATTAAGCCAGCAGCAGTGCAAGCATGGAAATTAAGCCCGGCTTTATGGAAAACCGGGACTTTCCCCACAGCCATCTTGCAAGAGACAAACCTAATGTGTTCCACCAGGACAGAGATGAGAGCTCTTTCTGTTTGCACACACAGGAGAAAGGGAGGGGTTACCAAGGACTCCAGGGACTTGGTAGTTCTCTGCTTTGCAGGAATCCCTCTGGGATTTTAATGGCTAAGAGTGCAGGGCATGGCTGGCTATTAGAACAAGGGAAGAAGGAAGCGGCTCTTACAATGATCCCTTCAGAATGAATCTGAAAGGAACCAACAGATGATGAACAGTGTTGAGAGAGGGAAGCCAAGAGAGCCATAGAAGCCTGGAGCAAAGCTGGACTTCCGCTGGGCCTTGGTGTGGTCCTGGCACAGCCCTTACCCAGGAAACATTCTTTGGGTCCAGCATGCAGTTTCTGACAGGACTGCAGCAGAACTCACTTCACTGAGTGCAAGCTATTGCTCATCTTTCCTAGGCAATGCACCATGCTGCTAAGGAGGAAAGCTTGTTGTCCACCGTACACACTAGTCTGTTGGCTTAATATGGAACCTAATACAGGAAAAATATCTGAGTCTCCTACTTGCCTCTGTAGCGATCCGAACACTAAAGTTTCTCCCCAGAATACTTCATGAGACTTCAGCTAAAAAAAATTTTCTCTCTGATTCTACTCAATCACTCACTAAAGGAAAAAGTGATAATTGTTGTTTTTATTTCAATGTACAAATTAGCATTTTTCTTTTTGTAAAAAGCAACTGGGAACCTAGTGAGTCAGTGCAGGACAATCCTGTTGTCAGAACTAACTGCTTGCTTGGGTCACGTTACAAATACATAGTACCAGGAATCTTTCGAGGAATCCCTAGTTTAAGTTTTTATTGTTTTTTTCTTAAAGATTTATTTTTATTTTATGTACTTAGAGTTTTCTCCACCTGTATGTGCACCATGAGTATGCTTGGTGCCCAGGACGGCCACAAGAGAGCATCAGATCTCCTGGCTCTAAAGTTAGAGGGGTTGTGACTGCTAGGAAACACACCCATCTCCTCTGTAAGAGTGGCACGTGCTCTGAACCTCTGAGCCATCTCTTCAACCCTACAAGACATTTCCTAAGAGGCAAAATAAACTTCTGTCAATAAGTAGATCTCATTACCTTAAATAAGGTATGGGGACATGGTACCATTTTGCAATGAAATCTCTGAAAATTAATGTTTGTTATTGAGGTGAACTTCTAGAAGCAATATCTAACTTTTAAAAAAAATTTCTAGCATTTTTTTAACAAAAACTTGAAACAATTTTTAAACAAACATTTGTTTTTGTGTGTGCACATGCCATGACAGGGATGTGGTGGTGGTCACAGGTCAATTTTTAAAGGGGCCATTCATAATCCCAGGAATACTGAAAGCCATGTTTTCTAAATCTGCCCTGACATCCAGGGCCGTACAACTGTGGGGACTATCTAATTCATCATCAACTGCTAATAGCAATCCCAGCTGTAACCTGTGAAATGCCCATAACACTCTTTCCCAAAGTTGATGAAAGCCAATAATGCCCCCACCCCTCATTGCTAGGGGGCCTCCAGTGGATCGCCCTCAGCTCAGGCACAGTGCTGGAAGCCTATCAGTCATTTCCATTCTTGGAGTGAGACAACATGATTTCTCTCCTACTTTGACTGACATTTCTTTTATCCTCAGGGAGACATCGTACCATTTTTTAATGCCTTTACCTTAGGGCAGCAGATTTCATTTACTGTTTGCTGAAGCTTAGCTATGCTTAGGGACAGATCCTTCAGGAGAGTTGTCAAGTTATGCCTCCACTTCAGATCTCTCTACTCGAGAAAGTAGCCAAAGGGCACATATAGTCGTTTGTATTCAAAAGGCAAGACATTGGGAGGAAGGATATTCTTATTTCACACCAAATTTAGCATTAAATAAATACAGCCTTCACCTCTACACACTCACAAGATTTCCAGATTCAAATTTCTCTCTTGAACACCCATGCCCAACCCTCCCTCCCTCCTCCTTGGACACCCCCTCCAACCCCCCAATTCAATGTAGACAAGCACACTGTTATGTTTTATTAGAACTATATTCTGAAGAAAAACACGACAAAGCAATCTCTAAAAGAATCATCTATTTTACCTTGACATCATCTATACAATCAATTAAAAACTCACAGGAATATAAGCCTAAGATAACAGCCCCTTCATTATTCAAATTTCCCACCTTCCAGATCTCTAGAAAAGTCGATCTATTTTCAAAGAGTGACCCCCCCCATCATCTGGCCCAGCCGATGAGGTGAAAGGGCACCCCTGGCCACTATATTAGTACTGTCTTTTTTGTTATGTCACTCCATAGGTCAGGCAAGACTGTGAAGAAGGAAAAAAAAGAAAAGAAAAACAAAACCCATACCCCACTCCTCAATAAAGTTCTGGCTTCTCTTCATCTTAACACTTGCCCCCCTTACCCCAGCACACAAACAAACACACACAAACTCACACATGAATGCACGCACACACACAGGCGTCCATACACCCCTCAATTCGATGTGATAAACATATTGGTCATGGCACGTAATCAGAGAGAGACCCATCCTCTGAAGCAGCAGCCTGTGGCCACAAGTCGAACCTTCCTTCATCCTCAGTGCTCAGATGGCCCAGGTTTCCAGCTCTAGCTTCCTTCAGCTTCATGTCTTACTCTAACAGTGCAGCTTTAAAACGTGCCTACCAGACAGAGCTTGAGAAGACGTGGCAGTGGTGACACCCACCTCTTCATTGCCATTCCATATCCTGGAACCTGCAGATCCTTCTTGACTCATGTAACTGGTGGGTAAAATCTTTGCTGGACATTTTATTTTGCAACAGAATTTTAGATGTTTATTGAACTAAACTAGTCTTTGCTTTCGTAAATCACTGATTTACATGCCTGGAACTGAGATTTCCCCCTTGAAAAACAGGTAAGTAATGGTCACTGTTCCCACCTGACTCACGCCCCCTCCCAACCCCGTTTATTTGAAGCTACCTGCTTATGGGATCCACAGATGTTATGAACATCACCATGTCCTCTAAGAAGGCCCCATGGTTCCAGAGCCCCTGTGACATCAGGGACTCCTAGGATTCCTTCCCTGAGTAGGAGATGGGAACAACCCTGCCTGAGATGCATCCTCTAAGCACAGAAATCAAGGAAGATGAGCAGCATCAGGTTTCAAATAAAAGACAACCAGAGCGAGGCTCTGGAAGCACATTATTGAGCCAGAAAGAATGTAACCGCAAAAGGAGGCTGAAGAGACACAGGGAAGGGGAAGCAATAATCCCTTAATCCTGTCCTGGACCACCTCCCGAGCAGTCAAGAGGCAGAGTACCCCTAACTGCAACACAGAGGACCACTTGTCGGCAACACGCACCTGCAAAGCGCAGGCATGTACACTCTCTGCTGCGTGTTGCATGCTGCAGACTTCTACCTTACTTACCAGCCCAAAACACAAATCCCCCCCCCCATAGGAAACAGAGGATCCCCTTGGCCTAGAACACACACCACTCTTCCTCTGTGTAACGCACAAATCCAGTCCCACATTGCTTAAAGGGAAGCCGGAAATACATTCCAGTAAGGAAAGCATTGGCAGCTCTTCTTAAGTGACAACCTTCCCCAATGCTTCATCTCCAGGGAGCCTAGGAGCCTCCAAACCAGGTAGGAGATGGGAGAGGGACTTCAGAGAAGCGCCTCCTAACCAAGGGACTTGTCTCAGGAAAGCCTCCAACCCTATGCCCATGTTAGCAGACTCACCAGCACCCCCTCCTAGGCATGAACCTGCCCCACTCCCTGCTTGCATTCCCCCAAATCATTCACCACCTTTCCAGCCCTCCCTGCCAAGCCACTTTCTGTACCCGCTGGTTCTCACAACGTGTTGCCTCACACACTCCCTCCGGAGGCTTGAATTAAGCCTGCCTTTCTCCATCATATCTACCTAAGCTTGTTCTGATTCCCCAAATTAACCAAGTTCACCCGCCCATCAGGCTCCCACTGACCCTTCCACTGGCGTCCTTTGCTCTCCTACAAATCCTCTTTTCCCACGCCCCACTTTCCATCTATCTTGCCTTCTGTCATCCTGGTTCAGGACACACTGCCCTTCTATTTTGCTCTCTGACCCTCTCTCAGTCCCAGGGACACTCACTTTCCCTTTTTGGCTGTTTCCAGGCAGGTCCCTGCTCCCCAAACCTTCCCTTGCCCATAGGACACTGGCCGGCTCCTGGCCTGCCTGGTCCGCACCCTCACCCGCGGTCCTTCTTCTTTCCAGAGTGTCCCACACCTGACCCCGGAGCCAGTCCTGCCCTCCCGGGTCTGCTCATCATCGCCTTTGCTGGAGCATCCTTGTAAGCAGGAGCTCTCGACCTGCCCAGCGGTTTGGGAGACGCGCGGGGCTCCGGAGGTAGAAGGCTGCCCGCTCTCCGGGCGTCCAGGCGCTCCTCCCGCTCGCCAACCCCGGCTCCCCCGGCGCCTAGCCCTCGCCCCGGCGCCCAGCAGCCGCACAAACTTACTTGCGGGTCGGCGGGAGGGGGCTGCGGCGAGCGGTGCGAGCCCCGCAGCGGTGAGTGCGCCCCTCTCGGTGGGGCCGGGCGGCGCTGGCACTGCGCTCCCGCGGCCGCGCGCGGACTGCGCTCAGCCTGACGCAGCCGGGCTCTGCCCCCGCCGCCGCCGTCGCCGCCGCCGGGGCCGCCGAGCGCTTGCAGACATGCTCAGTTTCCGGACCTGCCCGCGTGGAAGCTACCAAGAGCCATCCGCGGCGGGGGAGGCGGCGCCGAGCTGCAGAGCGGCGGCCACGAGCTGGAGGCGACCACGCCGGCGGCCCCGGGAAAAGGGGGGGCGAAGCGCTGCTAAAAATAGCTCCTGCGGAAGGAAGCCACCCGCTGCCAGCGCACCCCCTCTCCGCGCGTCCCCGCAGCGGACTCTCAGGCTCCGGGAGCTGGCGTCCTGCCGGACCCCTGCCCTGGGAAGCCGTGCCCCAAGAACAGACACCTGCCAGGGTAGCCTGAGCAGAGTCCCAGCTCCAGGCTGCCAGGTATGGCACTATCCCCCATTCCAGACCCCTGTTCCCGGAGCTGCCCAGCAGCCCTAGCTTCCGAGTCTTGGACAGAGACATTGAGAAAAAAAACTGTTCTGAAATTGTGGGAAAGCTCCTCTGCTACTGACTTACGAAGAGGAAGAAAAAAGTTTTCAGGTTTATTTTGGTGGAATTGAAACGAGAAATGAGGGAAGGCAGGCAAAATACAAAGATCTGTCCAAAGGGTGGCATGGTGCAGCGGGTTGAAAGGGGCTCTGAAAAGATCTCCTTAAATACAAGAGAAAGCCGGGCTTCTCCCTGGCTTCTATTTCCGCAGGATTTTACATAATTAGTTGACACTCAGCCTGACCTTGGAGGCACTGTTCCTGAGCTGTAATTTACTTTCCTTGCCTGCTGCCTTCTACTTCCACCGCTCCCACCTTTCCAACTCTGCCTGGGAAATTACAGAAAGGAGTAGGATCGGGGGCCAAAGTACAGCTGGGTAGACTGGAACCCGGCCGGCCCTTTCTTGAAGAAGTCAGTCCTTTTGCCAGGATGAGTCCCAGGTTTTCTAAGCATCAATCCGACTAGCAAATCAACCCAAAGGCCTCTTAAAACCACCTGACCTGATAGTGAGCTGGTTACCACTATTATTCGCCACTACACCCCACCTCAATCGCCGACAACTAGCTTTATCTCTTCTCTCCTTTGAAAGTGAAAAGTCCATTGCTCTGTAAAAGGAAAGCCGTGAGGAAGAGGGAGGAGGGGATATTTATTCTGAAAAAGGGACCAGTAGGGAAAGACAGGAATTTGAGTAAAGTCAGTGATGTACATGTACTTCATAATGAAACCCATTATTGTGTACGCTAAAATAATCAATAAAAAATTTTCAATTACAAGAATGAAATGTTCAGATTTTTCCTACGTCAAGTTATAGTTTTAGCTTTTTCTCTGACAGCCACCAAATTAGATTCATCACTTAGGAATTCCTTGCTTATATTTGACAGAGGATGTTGAAGCCTGGAGACAACTGTTGCCTGAAATGATACCTAGCTGAACCCAGAATCTGCCGGATGAGAAATAACCCACGTTTAAATATAACCTATTATTTCCTGACATCGATAGCTGCTCTTAGAGTAAGGGATCCAAAAACTAGGAGCAGTTTTCAGCTAATGAATTTTGTATTCTTGTTTTTTCTACTTGTAAGAAGGAATTCAGAGCCTAGATTTTGGGTTCTCTCGAAAGTGACTGTTTTATCCCAGTTCATTTACATTTTTGAGGTCATGCATGGACCAGAACTGAGCTCTACCAAGAGCTCACAGTCCATGCGCAATAAAAATACATTCATTTGCCATTATCAAACCTTAATGAAACTTGGCTTGCCGAAACAAAGTCACACATGTGCTTTTTAACAGTACTGTAGCAGTGTATGTCTGGGCTCAAGGCATGCTCCTAAATCAGACTGTTCAATTCCCAATCACAATTTAGTTTTATGTTTAGCTTTCTTTCCTCTAAAGCTATCTGTCTGTGAAGCTTATCCATCCTTTCCTGTCCTAAGTAACATAGGATTAAGATGGATGCTGTCCACATGGGGGTCATCACTCCACTACTTCTGGCCTGTCACCGTTGAGGTGATGTGATCTTGACACTTTTATGACACTGCATGCACACTCTGTGTAGGGACAAAGCGTGGCAAGCCTTCACTTTAAAGGCTGTTTTCAGTTCCTACATAAAAATGTATGGTTCAAAACGCACTGCATTCACAACTTTCAATGCCAAGTGAAAGCAACTCAGTGGTCACTAACAGATAAATTGAGAATGTTATTCATTGGTTCACATAACTCAGGCACAGAGGTGGGACTCCCTGACTGACATAGGCCCATGTCAGAGATAATGTGATTGCCTTGCTCTTAGCATTGTTTCCTGTGCTGTTGTTATTTTTCCTTCCATTATGAGCAGAATGCATTTCCATCCATGCATAAGGGACAAAGTTGGTAATCCTAGTTTCTTTGTCAAAACAAATCAAGACTTTTACTCTCTTGGATCTTAAAATAAAAATCCAGTTGGCTCTCCAGGCTCACATGGATAAATCTATCTACCCTAGAGAAAGATTCTCAAAAGGAGAATACCTAATAGCTGAAGGGACCCGTGAATCTTACAAAAGAGAGACAGTGTACACTGCCTTCCTGAAGAGTCTTGCCTCCCTGCAGTCAGAGAGACAGAGACAGACAGACAGACAGACAGACAGACACACACAGAGATACACACACAGAGAGAGAGAGAGAGAGAGAGAGAGAGAGAGAGAGAGAGAGAGAGA